ACTCTGGAAATACAGATAAGTCTTAGGGTATAAGGTCATATGCACATTCTAGGATGTACGGTAATGCTTTGTACTTTCATCTTTTATCCAGTTTTCATAGTGATATGTGACTCAGTGAAAATGAAGACCCACTGGCCTATTGTAGCAGTTTCCAAAGTAAAATAAAAAGATGATTCACTGGCGCTAAGTGAAGAAAATACTAAGATTTTTATTTATATTCATGCTCATTTAAAAAATAAAATAAGCTTTACCACTATATCATAGTATATCAGATTGAGGGCAGCATATTTTATTTATAAATCATAAATCTTGGTAATATTTACATTTATGCTTATTTATGCTTATGTATTTATAATAGAATGTCAGTGTGCTAAAATATTTTACTAATGGTGTGCAGGAATCCAAAGATTGAAGAACACTGCTCTAGATGAGTGAATATCAGGTTGTCAAAAGATTTTGCAAGCCATCTTTAATTAACATGTGGGAGGAGGTGAAGGAACAGTACATTCTCAAATACTAATATATTTTTATTCACTTCAACTTCCCAAGACACTATTTACTTAGGGAAGAAGGCAGCTAATTGTGATTGAACAGTGCCTAGATGCTGCATATCCTTGCTTCACTGGGCATCACTATTACTGAATGCATAGAATTCCATGACCATTATCACTGTAACTTTCCAGAAGGCTTCAGTTTTGCCTCGTTTATTCTTGCTGTGTAATACATCGGATTGTCCAGCTGCTGTAGCAACATTTTTGTTTCGCTTTGTTTTAATTTCCTGTGAGACTACCTCAGAGTTCTTTCTTCAATACAAATGGATTTGGCAACATTTCAGACTAAACAACCATCTTAGCAGATACTTTAAGGTTTGGACATTATGCAAAGTCATTTCTCTGCCAAGCAAATTTCTTCACAATCTGTCAAGTTTATTTGCAATGTACTATTTTGACATTAAATACTAAAAAATTGAAAGGCAGCACCACCTTATCCAAAATCTTCACCAGAATATCTGGGAAGTCCTAGATCTGCCATCTAAATTTTGTCCTGATTTCTATCCCAGTGTTTAAATCCAAAATATTAACCTTTTCCTGAAACAAAGTTCATTATGGTGGAAAAAGTTCTGCCCTGATGATAAAAGGAGCCTGGCTTTTAGAATATCACCTTTTTTCTCCGTTCACTTAGTTTATTTTTATTTTTGTTATTTTTTGAAATGAGAATCTATGCATTTATGATCCTATGCTATTTAAAAAAATAGTATTTATTTATTTTTGCAGGCACTGAATAGAAGAATTGGGCATAAGTAAAAGAATAGCTTTGGATGAAAATGAGTATAGATTGTGTGCGATACAGTCAAAACAGATGCAGGTGTGACAGGTTAAGAGCAAAGCGGCTTCACAGGAAATCTATAGATGGCAACAAAGTGTAAAATGTCTGAAGTGGATGAAAGTAACAATAGCAAATGAGTGCACATCATCAACATAATAAAAGGAGCACTTAAAAGGAAGCCGCACTTTGTCTAAAATCTGGAAGCAAACATACTAAGAGCAAAAGGAAACTGAGTGCAACAAAGACGATGGAGGACTAATTACTTCCATAAGCTTATGCTCTTCAGGATAGGAGCGATTCTTCCCCGTCTCACTAGAGAATGCGAAGATTTCCCAAGCTTTATGAAGAATCCTAACCACAAATGTACATTTTAACACTGTAAACTTTGATTAAAGTACATTTTGGTGTTCTCAGCTTAATAAAGCAAGCTGGCCCTGCTTTTAGCTTGTATTTAGACAAGGGGATTGCACTTCTCTATGGTCTCTGCAGCATTGTGTTCTGGCTTTGCAGAGGATGGTAAGTCCGTCAACACAGGAATTGTGACACCTCTGGCTTAGCTCCTTCCAGTGACCGCCCTCCCATCTCATACACCCATCATATCCCCCAATCCGTCTACCTTTCAAATCTGCCTTTATTTAACTTTCCAGGTCCAGCAGCTAAAGAGTGAAGTAGCACTAAAGTGTGCAGTCAGGCAAAACACACTTTATGCTTTATTATTCAGTAAGGTTAATGATCCATCAAGCCACCCCAATGAGGATGTGTGAGAGATTCCTTTTCACTTTTTAAATAACGATTTATCCAGGTAAAATCCATGCACTTAAAACTACAATAATTCATTAACCCATTCTTTTTGGGACTATTAACTGTTGTTTTAACAGCAATTTGAAAGTTACTTTAAAGCATTATATAGCCCCAGACTTCATTGGGGCTCTGCATGTAAAGCTCCAGTTGGGCACTTTCCCATTTGGGGAGTCTCAGGGAGCCATGTTTAACCCCCAGACCCACTTTGTGGAGTAAAGAGTCCCCTTTGTTCACCTCATTCACTTGCTAGACCCACCATAGAACACGCTTTCCCATTCTATGACTGCTTCTGACTTAACCATAAGACGTGCTTGGAAGGGTCTGCCTGGGCATGACTGGCAATATGAAGTATCTGGAGGAAAGGTTAGTAAAACGTTAAAGCAACTTTTCTTTCCTTCCCACCAAAGGATCTGAAGGACTAATGGCCTTTGGAGTAATATGAAATTCCTATACCAGACACTCCAGCTTTATGTTCATATCTGTGTGTTCAAACTCAGGAAATAGCATGAATCATTTTCTTTTGAGATATAGAAGGAACAAGAAGCCAGGGATGGAAACAATAAGACCAGAACAGAAGGAACAGTTCCTGGAATTCTGGGGAATTAGGAAAAACAGGCTGATTGGGAAGCACTCTTGGGACCCACATTACTTTTTCGAAAAGCTAACCTGGCTACAATATTCAGAACCCTCATCCCCCAACACTGTCATACACCCTCTCTGTCCATTCTTTCCTCCATCCTCAATTTCACTCCTAACTTCAGAGCTGCTAGTTTGATCTCCTACTTTCCTTGAAAACTTACCCTCTAGGCTCTCTGTCCCTGGCTACCATCAGTGGTCTGGATCTGAAAATGTCTCCATAATTGCTACCCTCTAAAGTGGGTAAGCTAGAGAGAAAAAAGGGTTTCCTTAATTTTTTTAGTATTCACACTGAATTTTGAATACATTCTATCATGGAAATGTATGTTCATCGTAAGATCCCTAAAATATTCCATAATTAATGAGCCTTTGTAGGCTGGCCTAGAGTATCTATCACAGAAGATTTAATTTCTCTGTGAAATTACATTCTTGGTAACTTTTATTTAGGTAAAATTTCAAACTTATGGAATAGTTACAGCAATAGTACAAGGAGTTCCTCTATAGCTTTTACTCATGTTTACATTTTCTTCCATTGGTTCTGTATGTGTGTATACAGAGAAAATATTTTTTGAGTTTTAATTAACTTACAAACTTAGAAGACAAATTATTATCAAATGGGGTCTGTTTAAAAATTTGATGAGACATTGTGTTTTATGCTTTTTAATTTCCTTTAATTCATATCATTTTTGCTGTAATAATGGTTCAGTTCCAGAAAGAAAAATGTATTTAAGTTTTTATTTTTCTTTAAAATGTTTTTATTGGGGCGCCTGAGTGGCTCAGTTGCTTAAGCGACTGCCTTCCGCTCAGGTCATGATCCTGGAGTCCCGGGATCTAGTCCTGCATCGGG